AGAAATCAGAGCTTATTCTTACTGGATCTCCTTTGTAGGTAACTTTTTGTTTTTCCTGTGCTGCTTTCAGGATTCTGTCTTTGTCTTTGGTTTTGATGAGTTTGATGATAATATGTCTTGATGATTTTCTTTTGGGGTCTATCCTGTTTGGGGTTTGTTGGACTTCTTGAATGGATATATTCTTATCTTTCATCATATCAGGAAAGTTCTCTTCCAACAATCTTGGACAATTTTCTCAGTGGTTTTGTTTTTCTCTTCCTGTTCTGGAATTCCAGTGACATGTAGGTTACTCCTTTTGATGGTATCCCACATGAACCTTAGGCTTTCTTCATTTTCTTTTGATCTTTTTTCTAATTGATCCTTTTCCAAAGAAGTATTCAGGTATTTGTCTTCAATCTCATTAATTCTGTCTTCCACAAAATGGTATGAATGAGTCTAAATGGAATAATACCATAATACAAATACATGTTTAAAGGGATTTATCAGTGTGTCATGAGGAAGCAGCTACAACACCAGCTATCATCATCCCTAAACTTGAAGGGGCAAGAGGAAAGAAGAATGTTACTGGAGCCTGCTGAGAACTAAAGGCTTCAGAAAGGGGCTGGCCTAAGGTAAAGGAACATAAAAACCAAACCGGTTGTCATCAAATTGACTCCACTTCCTGGTGTGCCCTATGTTGCAGAGTAGAACTGTGCTCCAAAAGGTTTCCAATGGCCAGTTTTTGGAAGTAGACTGCCAGTGCTTTTTTCTGAGGATGTCTGGATGGACTCTACTTCCAACTTTCTGGTGAGCAGTGAGCATGTTAACCAGTCATACCACTCAGGATGCCATATTTTGCCAAAACTGCAGCAAGGCAGAAAGGAGCCTCACATATGCCTTATCCAACTAGACTTCAGAGGACAAAGGAACCCACTTATATAATCTGTGAGCCTGAGCATCCCAAATACATACTACAAGTCAGAGAAGGGCAGAGACTAGATCTTCTGGGATATAGATAAAGCAGCACTGACAACAAACACTTTCATATTTTTTTTAAAGTAAAACCCAGTTTTATACTTGATGTAGAAAATATTAAATATTAACATGACACAGAAATGTAGAAAACAACATTGTAATACAAATGTTTGTGATCATGTAAGTAAATATTATAAATTATTAACATTAGAGAAAATAGTATTTAAGTAAAAAACTAAAAACTGGTACAAATATTTATATATTAGTTAAAGATATAATCTACCAACATAGAGTCTGAATATATGATAAATGTTAGAAGGAAAAGAGAGAAATTGTCAAACCTATAGAAAGTAGAGTTTAATATAGTTTTCTCAGAAATAAGTGAACAAAAAACTAAAGGGTATAAATTTGAAAACTGAAGAATGTTCCACATCAGCAAATTTAGTAACAACATCTACAAGTTAAAGGTGAGAGGATATTTGATTTTCTCAATAGAATTATAAAAAGTATTTCATATGATTAAACGTTCTTTAATTATAAAAAAAATTTGTGCAACTAGGAATACACTAAAACATCTTTACTTTGATAAGGGTCATGTTTCCGAGCCTAAGCATCATGATAAATGGTGAAACATTAGAAGGTTTACCAGTAATTTAGGAACAAAAGACAAATGCTCACTGTCATCTCTGTATTTCAACATTGTACAAATGTTGTCATCTAAAACAACATGAAAAGAAAACGACATTTTCAAAAGAATTGTAAACAAAGAGACAGGACTATTATGATTAATAAATGGCATGATTGTCTAACCAGAAAAATCTCAGGGCAACAACTGAAAAACTTGTTTCTCATTTTTTGTGGGGAGGAATTCCTGGCTTACAGAAGTTCCCCTTACATGTGAGATTATTCTCATTACATCACCTCAGGAGGGACAACTGGGGCAAAGGAGAGCCTGCATGGTTATTTTGTACATAAAAAATAATCTGCTCTGTTCTAGATATCTTGTTAGATATTAAAACTTAATAAAGATCAATAGCTTTCTTATAACCAACAATAATTAGAAATGTAATAACATTTTACTGGGCCAAAAAAAACCAAACACACTGCTGTTGAGTCAGTTTCAACTCATAGCAACCCCCACTGGGTTTCTGAGGCAGTACATCTTTACAGAGTACATTGCCCAGTCTTGCTTCTGCTGAGTCTCTGATGGGTTTGAACCACCAACCTTCTGGTCAGCAGTCAGATGCCTTAGGGACTGTGCTACCAGAGCTCCTTTTCTGGGCAAAGTAGTTTTAAAAATTCACATTTTGAGGCTCTTTCTTTGCTCTAAATAAGCAGAAATGATAGATTAAAATATGAAAAGGAGACCATTAAAAAGACTAAGTAAAATAAACAATTCAGGAAGCAAGAATGGAATGGAAATGCCAAGTAGTGAGATAGGTTGAAACTACAGGCCTACTGAATTCTAGGGAGCTCTGGTGGGATAGTGCCTAAAGCATTTGACTGCTAAACAGAAGGCTGGAAGTTCAAACCCACCAGCCACTCCTCAGAAGGAAGGTTGGGGAATCTACTTCCATAGTGATATCACCTTGGAAACAGAAGGAGGGGTCACTATGAATCGGGTCTGACTCGATGGCAGTGCATTGCATTGTACTGAATTCTAGGTCTTTTGAATGCAGGCTGATGTGGATGTCAATTCAGTTCCTGGCCAGTTTTCAGATTCATATGAATCTCCAAGTACACAAAAACTGTCTGAATGTTACCTGTTTTTTACCTAGTACCTCTCTGACAAGAGTATACCACAAATGGGATGGCTTTAACAAACAGGAGTTTGTCCTCTTATAGTTTGGAGGCTTTAAGTCTGAGTTCAAAGTGCCAGGCTCTAGGGGCTGGGCGAAAGCCCCTCAACATTGGACTTCAGCTCTGCCTCCTGCTCCCAGCCCACTGAATCTGGAAGCTTTTCTTCACTCAGATAGCTGCTGGCTGCTGAAGCTGACAAGCCCAAGGTTGACAAGTAAAAAGGCATAGTCCCGATGTTATCAAACCACATGGCAGGCCATTAATTCAAGTCCATTGAAAGTCCCAAGGTCGACAGAGCATGGCAGGCTGCTGAACAATGGCACAGCGACATGCAGGGTTCAAGTGTGCCATAAGCTAGAGACCATTCCCAAAGCTGCTTCTTATATACAGGAAGCAGACCACATACCCAAAGCACCTACTCAGTTGCTCCAATAGATTCCACTATGGAGTTAATTACCAATCTTACCATGGGGCATAACTACATTCAGCTGCCCAGCTGCTCAACCAGGCCCAGCCAAGTTGACACACAAACTTAACCACTACAGTATCCATGATCATACTCTCAAATTGAAGCATGTACTGTAAAGATGGTTATTTTACAATTAGCCATGTGTCATCATGTTCCATCAAAATCCATTTCATAAAGGATTTTATTTCTTTTACCTCTCCATATATTTCCCACTTAGATAAGTGGATAATTAACCAAGTTAAAGAAAAACAAATACATAGTATATATAAATATAATTTTAAGATTTGAAGTAGTACTTACTTGTTTAACAAATCAAACATGCTTTTCTCCACATTTACTAGCCACTGTTCTACAGCACTTCTTACTCGAATTTTCCTACAATTCAAAAATAAGCAATTATTTTTATTCGTCTTTCATTACTTTGATGTACCTGTTGACTGGGTAAGTTTTCTACACATTTTTATAATATTTATAGGCCAAAGGGCTTGATTGTATATTATCTTTTGATTTTTCTAGATCTTAATTATATAGAAAATCATGTTACCTAGCTTAAGGAAATTCTGACATCAAAAAACATGATACATTCTAGTACAAAATATTTTTGGATTCCTTATAGGATGTTTTAACACCAATCTAGGTTAGGGTGGGGTTGGGGTTTTGATGTGGGCACCATACTTCTTAGGCAACTTACATCAGGATCCACGTGCCAGAGGTTAGAGAGCCCTTGCTGGGGTTGGCAGATTGAACCAGTGTAGGAGCTCTGGTAGCATAATGGCTAAAGCACTTGACTGCTAACCAGAAGGCTTGTGGTTCAAACTCACCAGCCACTCCTCGGAAGGAAGGTTGGGCAATCCTACTTCCGTAGTGATACTGCCTCGGAAACCCAAGGAGGGGTCACTATGAGTTGGGGCCGACTCGATGGCACATAACAACAACAACAACAGCTTGTTATAACTGCTTGGGAGCAGGTCATACAAAATCAGAGCTCAGTGGAGGCAACAGTAACTCCAAGCAAATAGCAAATTTCCTTCCTGTCTATGCTTGTATAACAAAATAAAATAAGAAGCAAACACTAAAAAGAGAGTAGAAAACAAGAGGGAGATTTAATGACAAAAAAAAAGAGAAAAGAACTAATTAGAAAGAACCAGGAGGTTGAAGAGTCCATCCTTTTAGTTAAAGTAAAGATGAGAAAAATATTTCTTGTACGGAGCATGGAAAGGTAAGACTGTATTTGCAGAAGGATATTATCTTTGAAGAAATGGTTTTCTTAGAAAACTTCTTTGAAATTTCAGAAATTTACAATAAGAAGTTTTAAATAATGAGGTTTTACAGACTCTAAACATATGTAACAAGTGTATCATACTTTGGCAACACAAGACTTTCTCCTTCAGCTGATACAAGCATCGTTATAGCAGGAGGGCCGATTTCTTGTTTGTGTATCATTAAGTGTCTTATATTTTCAAAACATTTCACAAGATAAGGCTGTGAATCAGAAACAAATATAATTAACACTGTATAATCGTGAGCTTGTCAGGAAAGAATATCGTTGAGCAGTTTTAGACATTACCTGTACAGACTCAGGATTTTTACTATAAGCTAGAATGTCAAGAAGTTCAGCGTTGCTAAGGAAGTAAAATCTTGGGAAAATCGTTCTTTTGATTTCAAGGTAGTCCTGTCCAGAACCAGAAGAAATGCCATTCAGAATATATATTTAATCATGATATGAATCACATACTTATGTGGGCTTATTATTAACACACAAAAGCCACAGTCTTAAAGTATATGTAATAGTATCAGTCAAAATAATATCCCATGAATAATGAAAGCTATACTTAAATTGCTAAACATAAATTTTTATACAGCAAAAACTAAAATGAAAACCAAAACAAAATAGAAATAACAAAACCTTTGCACACATACACACACTTTCGCACACACATCATTTTATGATCATTAGATATTGTAAAATTTGGACATTATCAGTATTGTTTTTCCATGTTCCAAACTTTCTTCTCTTATTTTTCTATCTGTGGAGATATCATCTTATAGAATACATTATTTCTGCAGATGACCTCACATACTAGTACACAGAGAATTCCTGTATTTCTTCTGTCTCTCCACAACTGAGCTCCATTCACACCAGTCTTGTCTTGTCTTTGTTTTCAGAGGATGAGATGCCTGTCCATTTTTATTAGGCCATGGTGGTGCAGTAGTTAAAGTGTTCAGTTGATAATCTAAAGGTCAGTGGTTCAAACCTACCAGTCCCTGTGAAGATTACAGCTTCTGTAACGACTACAATCTTGGACATATTATGGGGCAGTTCTCCTTGTCCTGTAGGGACTCTATGAGTCAGAATCCACTTGATGACAATGGATGAGCTTTTTTTTTTTTTTTTTTTTTTTTTAATGCTCCTCTTGTTTTATTTATTATTCTCTTGCATCTTCATACTCTCCCATATCTTCAGTCTCTCCCATGCAGTACGCTTCCCCCACTAAAATTTCTCTCATTAAAAAAAAAGAAGCTCTTTTTTTCCCTAGTTACTACTTGTCCACCTTCTCATCATAGTTAAAATTATTGAAAAAATATTCTATAAACTCAAAATTTTTTTTTACTTATTTCTCAGTCATTCTTACTCTCCTGCCATCTAGCCCCTACAGTTACCAAATTTACTAGAAACTCAGTTTTCATGTTATATGATATTTCTACAGCAGTTGACTTTGTTAATTCTGTCCTGTGTTTTGATTTCTAGGATTTCACTCTCCTGTTTTTCTTCCATCTCTCAGCCACTTGTACTCATTCTCCTGCACAAGTCCACTGCACCTTAATTTTGACATTTCTTGGGTTCCATCATTATCTCTCTTCCTACTCCTGATTCTCTTCTATGATCTATTTGATACACACCCACTTGTTTTTTAGTTCAGATCACTTTCCTTGTGCTCCAGATCTATACACCCAACCAGTAATCCACTGGACTGTTTCATAAGTATCAGATTTTCAAATACTAAAGTTAGTTATTTTCACTAAAACCTCCTCCTCTTTAGTTCCTATCTCTGTTATTGAAATCATGCTTCATTGCACAGGCCAAACCATAAATCGAGGCATACTTCTGGACTTATTTATTTTATCCTTTATTCACCTGTCTGATAATTCCTGGCTCTACCTTCTTTCATGCTCACCATGGCCAGAAAGATGTTTACTTGTGTTTAATTGACTATGCAAAAAGCAATAGACTGTGTGGGTCATAACAAATTACAGATAACATTGAGAAGAATGGGAATTCCAGAACATTTAATTGTGCTCATGAGGAACCTGTACATGGACCAGGAGGCTGTCATTAGAACAGAACTGAGGGATACTGCATGGTTTATAAGGAAGGGAGTGCATCCAGGTTGTATCATTTCACCATACTTATTCAATCTGTATGCTGAGCAAATTATCAGAGAAACTGGACTATATGAAGAAGAAGGCAGCATCTGGATTGGAGGGAGACTCATTAACAACCTGCGATATGCAGACAAAACAACTTTTCTTGCTGAAAGTGAAGAAGATATGAAGCACTTACTAATGAAGATTAAAGACTACAGTCTGCAGTATGTATTACACCTCAACATAAAGAAAATGAAAATCCTCACATTGGACCAATAAGCAGCATCATCATAAATGAAGAAAAGTTTGAAGCTGTCAGTGATCTCATATTACTTGGATCCACCATCAACATCAGTGGAAGCAGCAATCAAGACATCAGATCATGTATTGCACTGGGCAAATCTGCTGCAAAAGACCTCTTTAAAGTGCTGAAGAGCAAAGATGTCTCTTTGAAAACCAAGGTGCACCTAACCCAAGCCATGCTGTTTTCAATTGCCTCATTTGCATATGTCCAGCTTTCACAGCTGGACAATGAATGAGAAAGGCTGAAGAGTTGATGCTTTTGAGTTGTGGTGTTGGAGAATACTGGAAGTACCATGGACTGCTAGAAGAACCAACAAATCTGTCCTGGAAGAAGTATAGCCAGAATGCTCCTTGGAAGCAAGAATGGCCAGACTTCATGTCACCTACCTTGGTCATGTGATCAGAAGGGATCATTCCCTGGAGAAGGATATCATGCTTGGTAAAGTGGAGGGAAAAAAGGGAGAGGCCTCAACAAGATGGATTGGCACAGTGGCTGCAATGATGGGCTCAGGTACAGCAAGGATTGTGAGGCTGGCACAGGACTGGGCAGTGCTTCATTCTGTTGTACATAAGGTCGCTATGAGCTGGCAACAACTCAATGGCACCTAACAACAACAACAACATGGCCTTATTTTACTAAACAAAAAACAAAACCTTCAAACCCAATGCTGTTGAGTCAATTCTTACTCACAGTGACCCTATGAGTTGATCTTGTTTTGGCCCCCAATATTTCTAGTCTTCTATTGGTTTCTTCATATCCGTTCTCACTGCCTTCAATCCAATCTCTGATCCCTTCTATAGAGATATTTTTAAGTTAAATAATTTCACTCTCCCCCTTTTAGTGGCTGTTCACTGTCTATAAAGTCAAAACACATTGTGATATTCATTGCCCTCCATCCTCTGTTCCCTACCTCCCTGGAGAATCTCATATCTCACCATCTTGTCTACAACTCCAGAAAGTGCCATACTTGCTCATGCTTCCATATCTTTGTAATTTTTCCCTCTGCCTAGGATGTTCAACCCACCCACCCTTCCCCATCTTGACTCTACCTGGTTAACTCTTACACTTCTTTCAAGACCCAGGTCAATTATCACTTTCCCAAGAAAGTCTTCCAAGCAAGATATTTCTCCTTTGTTATGGTCATAGCATCCATCTTATTATTTTCCATTTTTCAAAAAATCTTAAGCATCCTAGTGGGAGTGAAGTGGTATATCATTGTGGTCTTGATTTGCATTTCTCTCATGGCTAAAGACACTGAGCTTTTTTTTTTTTTTTTTTTTTAATATTTGCTGGCCATTTGAATATCCTCTTTGGTGAAATGTCTATTCAAGTCCCAGGCCCACACTTTAATTGGATTATTTGTCTTTTTATTGTTAAGTGGTAGAAGTTTTATATATATTTTGAATATTAGATCCCTATTGGATATACAGTTTCCAAAATTTTTCTCTCAATCTGTAGGTTGCCTTTTCACTTTGTTGAAAGACTTTTGATGAGCAAAAGTATTTAATTTTTATGAGATCCCATTTACCTACTTTGTCTTTCTTTCTTCATACTTTTGTTATTATATCAGATAATCCATCATTGAAAACTAGGCTCAACAGTCAGACCCCTATCTTTTCTTCTAAATATTGTATGGTTTTAGTTTTTACATTTAGGTCCTTGCTCCTTTTTAAGTTGGTTTTTGTGTATGGGGTGAGGCATAGATCCTGATGTACTCTTGCATGTGGAAATCCAATTCTTCCATCACCATTTGTTGAAGAGGCTCTTCCTTTCTATTGAATGGTCTTAACACTTTGTCAAAAATCACTTGACCATAGATGTGTGGGTTTATTTCTGGACTCTCAGTTCTATCCCATTGGTTTACGTGCTATCCTTTTATCAGTATCAAGCTATTTTGATTACTGTAGCTTCATAATATGTTTTGAAATCAGGAAGTGTGAGTCTTCCTACTTTGTTCATATTCAAAATTGCTTTAGCTGTTTGGGGCCTCTTGCCATTCCATATAAATTTAATGACTGGCATTTCCATTTTTGTAAATAAGGCTGTTGGAATTTTGATCAGAATTGTGTTGAATCTACAGATCAGTTTGGATAGTACTGATATCTTAACAATATTAAGTCTTCCAGTCCATGAATACAAAATATCCTTCCATTTATTTATATCTTCTTTAATCTCTTTTGGCAGTTTTATAATTTTCATTGTAAAAGTCTTTCATATCCCTGATTAAATTTATTCCTGGGTATTTTAATCTCTTAGATGTGATTGTAAATGAAATTGATTTCTTAATTTTCTTTTCATATATTTCATAGCTAGTGTATAGAACACAAATGATTTTTTGTGTGTGGACCTTATACCCTGCTGCTTTGCTAAATTCCTCTATTACCTCTAGATATATCTTGTGGAATCTTTGAGATTTTCTATATATAGTAACATGCCATCTATGATTAGAGATGATTTTACTTCTTTCTTTCTGGCTTGGATAACTTTTATTCCTTTTTCTTGCCTTATTGCTTTAGCTTGGACTTCCAATACAGTATTGAATAAAAGTAGTGAGAGTAAGCATCCTTGTCTTGTTTCTGATTTCAAGGGTAAAGTGCTTAATCTTTCTTCATTAGGTATAATGTTGGATGTTGCTTTTTCATAAATACCTTTAACCATTGTGGGACTTCCCTTCTATTCCTATCTTGTTGAAAGTTTTTATCAAGAAACGGTGTTGGCTGGAGAATTCTATCAAAGACTCAGAGAAGAGTTGATACCTATGCTACTCAAGCTATTCCAGAACATAGAAAAAGATGGAATACTCCCAAACTGATTTTATGAAGCAAGCATAACACTAATACCAAAACCATGGAAAGACACTACTAGAAGGAAAACTATAGACCAATATCACCCATGAACATAGACACAAAAATCTTTAACAAAATCCTGGCCAACAGAATACAACAACATATCAAAAAATTAATACACCCAGACCAAGTGGGATTCATACCAGGTTTACAAGG